AGCCAGCTGGCTGCTGGCTCCTCTACATGGAAGCATCTTCCTCAAAGTTGTGTCACTTCACTAATTATAACTAAAAGCTAGAAGGAATACAGGCTGTGAATGCTAACTGGTCTTAGGCTGCAGCATAGGAAGTTAAGTATTAAGCACTTTCATTTAAGAAAGAACCAAAACGGCTACAGGGTGGACAGCTAAGTGTCTAATACCTGCTGACTGCAAACCACAGCTCCAGCTTCCATTTCCGAGTTCTAGACCTCAAACAGTGCATTGGGCACTCTACTTGCCTTAGAAATCTTTCATGTTCCACTTCTATCCTGATGCAGTAGCAACAGTACAGTTATACTAAGCCCCGAACAAAACATAACCAAACATGTTGCCAGTGACATAGGCACAGTCTCCTACTTTCCGGTTTCTGATATTTTGCAGTATCAAACACTGCACCAGGCCTAGAATGCTGTATACACTGTAGTATATATACACACACCATACTACTGGTATATGCTATAGTGTATATACTGTACAACGCTGTATTCGCTATTATATAACCTCTTCAAGACTACGCTAAATAAATTTTTACAATAAAACCGCACTTTGTCTTCATTGTAGAAACTGTTTCATCGCATTTAATTTTTGAAGGGGAGGGGGAGGTGATTTTTCCTCACTTGACTTTTTTCCTCACTTCTCCTTTGACAACACATCTTATGGCTGAAACCTGGAAGCTGCATGATGCCACTGTGACTGCACTGAAACCAGCTACAGACAGTACACATACTGCTGTTGGGCCCCATCAGCAAACAGACATATTGAACCAGCCCATTTGTCTCTCGTTAGTTCTTGGGTCCAGACAATCAGCATGAATATTGCCACATGCTCACGTGACATGAAGTAGTCTGTAACCCTGTCCTAAAAGGTTTAGAGAAAACGGAGGATTTAAAAAAAAAAAAAAAAAACACACACACACAACCACACCCCCCCCCACCCAGGAGGGGATTCATTTAGCCTCCTCCTTTAGAGGCACACAAACCAGGTAAGTCACTTCTGGAGAGCAGGGCAGATTATCTGGCCCGACTTGCTTGTCATTCATTAAGCACAGTCCGACAGCACAGTTCAGAACCGCTACATTCACTTGATGAGGCTATAGTCTCTTATAAAGAGCAGATTATCCCCAGGAAGAGATTTGTGGGAAAAATTGCTAAGTAAGTGGACTGGACATTAAGATGTTTCTCTTCTCTCCAAGTAACTGGACTGGATGAGTCCTTGTTTCTCCTCCTGACAGGAGGCAAACCATCTTCCAGGAAGCTAGTCTCACGTCTATCCTACTAACGTAAGACTTAAATCTTATGCGTAATCTCATGTCTGAAGAACAGTGCTGTTAATTCTTCTCTCCCCAAATATTCCTATTACAAGCAACACAGGAAAGTTTTCCTGCAGAAATAATTAAAATATGAAAGAAAGTCATAGTAATATTTGGCATTTTTAATTTAGGTTTGTTTTATTTAAGTTTAATGTTAATTCCATGCTGTGTTTCAGTAAGAACAATACAGATTCTGTATCTGTGGCTCCAGTCAGATATCCAGTAGTACAAATTAGCTTCAAGTTACACATACTGAACAAAAGAGGTTGAGCGAGCGAAGGGAGATGGGGACGGGGGAGGGAAAAAGAAAAAAATATTGAACACGCATGCAGGCTTATCAATGCCACCTTCAATGCTAACCTGCTTTGAGGAAAAGTAAAGAGTAGGCAAGAATGAGCAGCCACGGATTGTTGAACTGTTACCAGCACCATGTTTTTCAGCAACATTTCAGCAGTTTGGAAACTTTACAGTAAAACCACTACAATATGTGTCCCAATGCAACCTGTAACTTCAAGCTAAACACCCAATTAAGTTTAAACATTGGTATAAAATTCAGTTTAAACAGTTATAAAAAAAGAAAAATGCCACCACATGCGCGCTACCGTGCAACAACAGATCTCCCCTACAAGTCTACCAGCCTTCAGATGTAACATCCACTTCTAATGGTAATCTCGCCACATCTGGCGGAAGACAATACAGTAATGCTGAAAGAGCCTTTACAAAGTCCTGTTAGTGTCTTAACCTAAAAGCTGGCACCAGTAAAATCCACAGAAATTCACTCTTGCCTTTAAGAACTTTTTAACTGTGTAAAAAAAAAAAATAATAAAAATAAAGAAACCCAACAGGGTAGGGAACCTAAATTCTGAGACCCAATGTAAAAGTCAGATTTGGTGGTTCTCAGAGTGACACTGAGGGTTTTTGTGGGGAAGGGGAAGGGTGGTCAGAGATGGGTTCTCTTGTTGGCCTTTGTGTCTCACTGGTTTTCATCTTCCACATCCTGCAGCGCTTCTTTATTCTGTTCTTCACCTATGAGTTTTTAAAAGGAAGAAATTGAGATCAGCAGAATGGCTTAACAAGCATCTGAAGATTAATAGTTTCATGCAATTATACACACGCTCACTTACACACTTGCACGAACAGCACACACACACACACACACTCATGACAAAGCCAGTTCTCAACTGAAGCCTCTCCATGGAATTTTAGCCTTGTAATCAACCTGCCACATTTCATACAAAACACAATTATAGCAGAGGCTATTAGAACATGTACCCTGTCATAAAGGCAAACAACAAACCAACATCGCTGAAAACTGAAACTGTGCATGTGATCAAATCAAAGATGAACAGCCAAGAGACAAAGTTATCAGAATGGCTGCACATCAACATCCCTGCAATCAGAAGATACCTTTCCAATAGCCTAATTTCCACTACACAGAGGCAGCCAAGAACATCTGTGTACTAACTATAGTAGTAAGACCAAAACAGATTTTCAGAACTAAACATTTTTTTCTGCCCAAGTCCACTTAGTCTCACTAACAGTGAAGTACTGCAGTCAATTTCAGAAAATGACACTGACTGTGTGTATTATTTAAGGTATCAAAACAAGCATGTGCAAGTTTCCCGACTTCACAAGTTCAACATGACAAGAAATCCTAGACTTGAGGTGACTAAAGGAGAATATTTTGGGGAAATTTATTTCTCGAAAGATGGCCAGCCAATCAGTTTGGAGCTATTCCACCAGGCTGCAACATGCCGTGAAAGAGTCTATTCATTAAGACTACTGTAATAAATATTCAGTTTTACTTCAGTTACCCCTAGACAGACACATGCAATGCCTTCTGCACATGTCTTGGCCAGATTTCTGCCGCAAGAGGAAAAAGTTTAACATACTTCAGCTAATGCCATAACACATGCAAGATTGAGTTAATTGATAAAAAGAAACTGAAGAATGTTTTCTTTATAGTTATCCTTAACCATGTGAGATGGTATTGCCTTAAGGGCAATAAACAAAAGAAACTATCCATTCAAACAAATTAGTTTGCAATAAAATCCAATCAAATGAGACTAATGACTTTCAGCGTATAATCAGAATGCCTGCTGAGAGCATGTCCAGATTCAGCATTATCACCAGGTACAATGCAAGGTAGATTTTGGAAGAGGTGACCTAGGAACATAAGACGTCTGACATTCAACAACAACAAAATTAATGTTTAGAATTACATAACAAATTATTTAAGCTTAAGAGAAAGAAAGCAGAGGCCCTAACCCAGGAAGATGATTAAAAGAAGATCTGAGCATGCTCTAGCCAATGCACTTAAGCAAATACTCCTATAACAGGCCATAGTGAAAGTACTTTTCATGCCCAAATATTCTTAATATCCATCCAGGTATGCAGCTCAATCATCAAGTGTTTAAGTTATTTTGGATCTCAGTTACGCTTATGTTGACCTGGGTAGGAGTAACAGGTCATAAAACTGCTACGGTATTGCTCAGCCCTGGAATGGAGTCAAAGATACAAGCAATTTATCAGCAGGAAGAGAGTGATAGAGGCAAGCATGATTAGTGATCAGAAGAAAATTGACGTTGAAAAGTTCATTGAGCCATGACGAGGACTTACAAAGTAGAGTTTTTAGGAAATGAACAGTTGGACTTTCCTTTAGGAATCTATATAGCAGGAAAGAAGGGGAAAACAGGAATCATATGAAGACGACATTACAAGCATGAAAATTAACTAACAGCTCATCTATGACATGGTTAAAAGATACAATAAATGAGATGGAGAAACGTAGCAGCTCAGTAACATTTGATTTAGAAGAGTCATTCCCTATAACCTACACAAGTGAAACTGACAGACAAAACACTTTATGCAAAAGAATGAGCTGGTTTTCACTAGTTTCTTAAGAGGAAAA